ATCGAAGTTCAGCGTAGGGTGAAATCCTCATGGCCAGGGGGATGAACATTTTCCCACACGCTCGCCCCTGATTATCGCCCAGGCTTGGGATCATTTTTGCTCTGAAGTTGACTGAAGCTTTCTAATAATTCATGATGTCTGTGGATTATGCATTTACACTAAAGTGCATCTCAGTAGCAAATGTGTGAGTTTATTGGGATGTGGGTACATTTCCAAAGCTGAAAGCTTGCATTAAAAGTCTCCAGAAACTAGAATCTTCCTACCTTCCCCAGTGCCCTTGTTCTAAAAAAAAAAAAAGAAATCAGAAGTAACTTAAATTGGGAGGGGGGAAGAATGGGTTAATTAGCATTCAGCTTCAACTGCAAATGATTTGTACTGACATGTATGTGGAGCTGCATGTTTGGTACAGTAGATGTACATGTATATCTAAATGTACATGTACATGTACGTTAACATGGTTAAGTGAACCATTTGCTCTTAGAAAGGCAACATGCTCTGTTGGAACTTTTTACATTTGTGCTCTACAGTTTACATGTTTATGTACAGGTAAATGACCTACTAGTATAGGAGACCATGTTCCTCAGGTTGAAAAGGAAAACCCGTAGGCAACATGTTTGCACCTGTTCTTTTAGATTACAATGTACCGTACATGTATCTGTATAAGCATCAGTTTTGCACTTGAGTGGGTGCGATTTTGCTACGTCTAATGTTTTGTGCGAGATAAATTCCTGCTACAAATCATTGTCCCCAGAATTTGACAAATTTTCTTCTCAAGTGTCCTCCCTATGTTACTGGAGTACACGTACAGCTGCGCTCGGAGTGGAGAGTGAGATTAAGGCAACCAATGAAATCTAAAATGTAAATTCCCCGAGCGGCATGTGTCTGTGTGTGTTGAGTTTCCAGCGTCCCTCTCGTTGCCGCCGGCGACAAACTCGCTGTCCGAGCTGCAGTGAGGAATGAATGCCGAATCACTATTGAATTTTTTCATTGGAGAGAAACAAGCACCGTGTACATGTTTGCAGTAAGTACATACTGTACACATACATTATGACAGAAGCTACATAATGTGCTTTGAAATTCTGCTGATGAGTGCCCTACGTAACGGCACGAAACAGTCTGTCCAGAAAATGCCAAAGTTAAAACTGGTATCCTAATTTTTCCAGTACTTATTATGGATCTGCAGAGTTGTATTGAGCACTTTTGGATTATGATACGTGCCAATTTTTCATTGGATAATGTACACATACATGTACATGTACCTGTGCCCCTGCATGGTACATGTACC